AAAAGGGTCTGTCGCCTAAATCGCTCCGGGCTTGAATTAAGACATAATAAAGCTGTCCCAGCTCAAGCGTATCCAATGGTAGCGCACTCTCTGTCTCACACACGCGCCGACACTGTGCCGCTATCTCTTTCGCTCAGTCATCCGTCAACCGTTTCGGGGCGTCAGTTTTTGGAACATCTTTGAACGAACACCTTTACGGGCCAAGCTGACGACGAAACAACTTAAACTGACAGGAAGTGCTCGAAGGGCAGAGTGGGAGAGGTGGGGCAAGCGGGCGAGCTGAAGAGTGAGAGGGGGAGAGGGTGTAGCTTGAATGATATTTTCCCTAGCAAAAGGTATTCAAATTTTCTCTGACAACGTGTAACGCATTAAAGTGATGAATATTTTATATATCATCTATTTWTTATATTTCAAATATTTAATACCTACCTTAAGTACCATTTAAAGAAAATTAGCTATAATTCTATATCTATAAATGGTTTATTATTTATTCAGCTAAAATTCTTTCTCTTCCAGAAGTACCAACAGATGCAGCATCAGCTGCGACAGCAGCATTTGCGGCCAAAACAATTGCCAATCGTTTACTTTACTAACCACCAATTGCCCTTTCTGCGCGATCTAGTCATGAACTCCGATTACGATTTATTGGGGCACCTCGAGAGCTCTGAGCGAGAGCGTGATCCGCAAGAATCTCAGCTCCTGACACGCCTGCACAGACTGGTCGACAATGCTCTTGATGGCGATGATCAGCTGTTCAAACTGAGCTCCGGTGCTAAGCAGCACAATAACAAGAGAAATGCGCAGTGTGAGTAGAATTTATTATATTTATATTTCAATTGTTTTTGTTTGAATTTAAACAAAGATAAGCAAGATATGAATACACAGGTGGGTGCCTTAAACTCTGAATAAACTAAGGTTTAGTATATAAAGTTGAGTGGATATTTCATTGCAAATTGTATAAAAATACGAGGCTAGAATCGTATATGCTTATGAAGCTAACCAACTGGAATATAAGCTAATAATAATAATGGTGGTGCATGATAAATCTGTTAATTTAAATTTTATTTTATATTGTATTTCTGATATTCACATTTCCAATATTTACAAATAGTTCGTAAACAATGTAAGTGTTGCATGAAATTTAAAAAACGTCTAATTTAATCTTTACTGATACTTTTTCTGTTTCTATAGATATGAGGCCATGTCATTTCAAGATCTGCAATATGGGACGCTAGCGCAATACCGCCTCTACTTTACCCATCCGAACCGATTCACCGAAACATCTCAAAGTTAAAAGCAGTTAAAGCCGGAAAAATGCTAATATTGCAGAAAAATAAAACAAAAACATGAGAATTTATATTATATACACAAAAGTATTTAATGTTAGCTTTACTTTATCATATATCTACATACATATACATAATATTATTCATTGTTCCACTAGTATTTCCTTCTTAAATTGCGTTCTAACAAATATTATTCATTAAATACTTAGTGTTCATTTTGCAGCATATTTATTGACATATATACATGTATATTAATAAAGAATTAATAAAGAACTATAACTAGAATAATTTGTTTCAGTTTCCTTTATTAAGACAGAAAGAGATGAATGTACCTTCTATGGTCAGGACGATTATCAACTATTGCTATTGAGCAATACACTAGAAAAACATCAATGTACCATCAAATAATGTAAATAGTAATTATAAAAAATGAAAATTTGATTATGACGTACACAATGTATGTTTATTTATGTATATTCATTCAAGTTCGACATTTAACTAAAAGCTATTTTTCGAAAAGCGTATAAATGTATAATGATCTCCTCATGACAGCTGTTCAGCAACTATATAAAGGGATGAGGGAAATGGTGAGATATATTTTATTCATATAATGCTGTACATCGGTATTTTCTTAGAAAAATTGCAAATGGGAAATCAGGGTATAATGGTTTTGTTGAAATGTATGTAACAGGCAGAAGAAGGCGTGGCAGACCCCACAAAGTTTATATATTCTTGCTCAAGGCGACGAGCTGAGTTGATTTGGCCCTGTCCGTCTGTCTGTCCCCCCGTCTGTCCGTCTGTCCGTATGTATGAACGCGTCGATTTCAGAAGATATAAGAGCTAGAGACTTTAAATTTTTTTTAATGTCCGTAATTTTTTTCTGTTGGTATGTTGCAGAGAACACACAATAATGATCTCCGCTTCTTCACACCTCAYACATGATCAGCYGACCAGCAGCTGCATGGCGAGGGGAAGATAGTACGGAGATACTTTTTATTCATACAATACTT